GTACCTCGAACAATAATATTTATACTTGGTCTGAATATAGTTAGCGTTGTAATCGAGTTACGATTCTTTACGATGATTTTCTGATCTATGTTATATTGCCAAGTTGGTTTATAGATATCATCAAGTGATGCACCGCTTGATTTCGAATGTTTTATTTTATTTAGATGGTCCAGATATTGTGATCTTAAATTATTAATTTTTTTTTGCAATTTTCAGTTGTTAGTGGTTGTCCTGTTAATTCTTTGTACTGATTACAGATTATCTGTAAAGCTTGATCTCGTTTCATACGATTATGATAATCAACACTTTTTGTAACATATAAACAAGAATGTTGTTGATATAACATTAATAAAATTTTAACATTTTCCTTATTATCCATTTTTTATTATAAAAGAAGTTTTTTCTGAAAATCAATTTTATATATTATTATACTTTTCTTAGAAAAATAATATGTATATATAGGTTATAATATATTTTTAATGTCTAATTTAATCTGCATTAAAACTAATAATAACTATTTATGTAAATCTTATTAATTATTAATCTTATTAATTTATTTTATTTAAGAATTATATTTCTCTTATTTTTTCAATTCTATAATTACTTACTAAAATATTATTTATATTGTTCACAGTATCTCGTATCACTATAAGTATCTTATATTTTGTCTTGACAGATAGTAAAAGAAACTAGTAAAATCTAATAACTCGCAATAAAGGTGCCTACTGATGGACGCGGCAAGTGCCGTGCGCGGCAGCGCGGCACTTCAAAAAGAACTAGATTCTAGGGGCTTCTAATCCTGATGCCGCCTCCCGTGTCTGCCGGTTGAAGTTAGATTAATCCAACTTTATTTGCGATATCGCAAAAGTGGTTAGAATCAATTTGAAAAAAAAGTTGTAAGAATGGTCGGAAAACATGTGGAGATTCCACAGGTTAGTGTATTTTCATAATATGTTTAATACAAAAATGTTAAAATAGCAATTACGAAAATAATATATATAATTGTTTATAATCATCAAGATTGGAGGTTAAGTTTATGTTTAAAAGGTTTTGGAAAACAAATTTATGCAAAAAAATTTTTTTCAATTTTTAGAAATTTTTTTTAATTTTTATAAACATTTATGACTTGAAACCAAACTTTTGAATGACACATGACTTGAAACCAAACTTTTGAATGACACATAATGACATACCAGATAATGATACACCAAGTTACAATTCATATTTAATATAATTCATATTTTTTTTATTGCAGAAAGTACATACATGCGGAATGTGCGAGACAATTCTGGAGGAAGAAGAAATATCTTCCCATGAATGTTTTGTAAATTATCCAACGCTTATTTATGACGAGAACACTTTTCTATTTGTATCCCCAATGTGGTAAGTAAAATATAAAAGGCGAAAAATAATGATATAATATTATTTGAGCAAATATAGCAATTTAAATATATTATAGAGAATGGAGACATTGTGCGTCGAAGTGCGGTTGATGGAGCAGAGTTGCTTGTTACGGAGTCGCATCTTCCGACTAATCAAGAACCGCAAACATCGAACCTTGAAAGGCGAAACTTGGAAGAAATAATAATTGCAGAAGTGTCGGCACGAGAACTGTTATGGAATCAAAAATGTAATATTGTGAAACGTGACAAACAAACTGTACAACAGCTTTGGCAGCAAGTGGCTGATGCGACGAATGGTATATATGTGTGCGTGTGAAGAAAGAGAAGAAGAGAGAGAGAGAAAGAGAGAGGAGAGAGGAAGTGATATAACAGTACAAAATGTTCGATTTTATTATTACAGATGAATGTTCTGCTGAAGAAGTAAAAAGAAAATGGAAAAACTTGAGGGATCGCTATATGAAAATCATCTCCCTTGAGAAATTGCCAAGTGGATCAGCCAGTAAGCCATCTTGTAGGAAGTGGCAGCATTATGACTCGATGTCTTTCTTACGGGATACCTATTTGGAAAAAGAGTTAGTTACTTCACAAATTTACAGAAATACTAGAGAGAGTTACTATCAATATATTTTATTTCAGGACAGTTTCAAATATTACAAGTCTTGATGAAGATCCCGATGATGTAGAAATCCAAGTGGATGGAGAAGTAAATTCCAATGCAGTTGATGCATCGAGAGGTACGTTTTGCTCATAAGGTGTACTGGCAAATGGCTTAGTTTATACCGATCATTTAGTACGTGTACCAAATATTAAATCTGCTTCTCTGATTGGTGCAGATTTTACCTTAAACGATTTAAATCAATCAGAGAAGCAGATTTGATACTTGATACGCGTACCAAACGATCGATGTAAACTAAGCCAATGAACAAATTTAAAAACAGAAAGAGAATAGTAAGAATATGCAATAATAAAATAAAACCCTTGTATTTAAATTTCCATTGTTTCTACGGAAGCGTTTCGTTCAGGAACGAGTATGTCTTCGATAAAAATTGAAATTCCTAGATTATGTTCTTTTTTATAATTGCGTATTTTTATAATAAACCAAATATATCTATAAATATCCATTTATAACATAAATACATAATATATAATGTTTTATAATGTAAAAAATTTCCTGCGATGAAGTTTTTATCGGATCGGAGTAAAATTTTAACTACAAATTCTTGCAATCCTGGTAAAGACTTTTTGATTTTTTCATATCATATTGTAATTAATATTTAAAAAATTATTTATTTATATTATTTATTTTAGTGTAATAATTTTTTAAAATTAATTTTATTATAATCTCAGGAGTAACTTTTTCAATAATGTAAAATGTATTCTTTTATTTTCAGAAGTAAAAAAAAAACGAAAAAGTTGCGAACAAGATGTGATGAAGCAGATAGCGGAAGCCTTGCAGATTCCACGACCAGCATTGCCATTGCCAACTCCTCCTGTTCTTGATGAAGTTGATAACTTCACTTCGATGATCGCCAGCCAGCTACGAGATTTCTCGCAAATCCGCAGACGCGAAATAATGTTAAAAATTCACCATCTTTTACATACAGAGTTATTGCGTGATGACAGTAATTAAGTAGTATTAATGTATTCATAATAATAAAACAAAAATGATTTTAATAGTATAATGAAGCCGAGATGTATTTATTCAAATAGTTATTATTCAACTGGAGGTCGATTCTGTATCATGCAATATACCGAAATTTACAAAAATAATTGAAATTTAAAGTATCTAATTAGATTATATTAGTCAACAACTAGTACATTTGCTCTACTAGTACTACTAGTACTTTTTGTAATGTTAACTACATTGCATGATATAGAATCAACTTCCTGGGTCACAATTCTTGAATTCACGCAAAAAATTTCCATATGCGAAAATGGTACTGCAAGATCACTGATTGGTATATATTTTCAATCTAAAAATATATATTAATCAGTAATCATGTAGCGTCATTTTTCGTACGAAAATTTTTCGCATAAATTCAAGAATCGAGACCCTGAACTGGGAATACCAAGAAACATTTGTCAAGTTACAATTATTTGGAAAAGTAGAAAAGAGAAGTTGTCAAACAATAATTTGTTAAAAGGTGTAATTTATTTCTTTTGCACGTGTAATATACAAATAACGATTATTAGCGATAAAAAAAACTTTTATACAAATGTAATATCATTTATCATTTTGCCATGCTACTGAGCCTTCATTATTAAAATATTTACAAAATTCATCTCTAATAAGCATGGCATTCCGAGTACTTGTATTTGTGCTACAATTTGAGATGTCCACTAATGCACAACCATCTTCCATAATAGTTCTCCACAAACCTCGTATGTGTTCATTCTCTGCTGTCTCTCTATCTAGCATATCTGGTGAAATGTAGCGGTTCTCGATGTCATTCCTGCGGAGCCAGTTATGGATGCAGATTGTACCTTGCACAAT